TGACAATTCACTTGGGTTATCCGTCGAAATTAACATTTTCTCAACTTTTCTGGATTGAAACACAACACGTTGCTAAACAATTCGGTAATTACACATTTATCGAATCAAAAGCGAGTCGAATGCGTGCGAATCCGAACGAAACCGATTGAGGCGACGCGACGGTCCAAGAAATATCGTTGATTAAAGAAAACAACATGAGAAGAACTTTGAATACAATTCTAGAATTCGTACACGTAATTTCGTTTTTTTTCTACGCACTATCGATGGATGGCGAGCGGCTTGCAAGCAGAGATGAGATGCTGGCCCCTTTGATGAATTAAGGTGAATTAGAAATCAAGGACTAAGGAAAATCATGTACCACGTCCGTGTTAGAAATATCGAGATCTTTGCGAGATGAGCTGTAACCTGCACCTGTTTGCGATCCCAATTATTGTCCTCCTTAACATTCGCGACGTTTCTTTCGGCTTTACCCTAAGCGCTTTCCCTTACTTTACATCCGCGCCGTCCTTTATTAAATTGACCCTTTCGACTTGATCGACCATTTCGACTGTTTCAACCATTTCGATTAGATACGACGTGCAGTTTCCGTGTCGAAGAAAACTTCAAGACTAATTTACTTGTTGAATGCGAAGCATGATAAAACGGACATTAATTCACATAGAAACATAATATTAATCAGATAACACATTAATAAAGACTAATTATAGCTTATTACAAAAAATGATGGAATTGCGAATGGGAAAAATGTAGAAGTTTTTATAGCTACATTACTAAATATATACAAATAATAAGCATCCTTGACTGCAAAATTCAGATTTGTACGTGCGATTATTGCAGGCGTGAGAGATACGTGAAAGAACAAATGCGCGATTCGCACAAGAAGCCTAGATAAAAACGTGCTTATATACGATTCTTTCGACTGATACATCGAACGGATGTTGAAATCGAATACTGCTTCGAGAGTATCATGCAGTCGACGATGAATATTCGCAAAATAAATCACAAGTTAATTAACTTAAACATGAGAACTTTCTTGACCATGTCTGGCAAGTTTAATATAGGTAGTTGAAATTCACAACGTTTCGACCACGGTTTTTGGTCCTTTTCAAGTGATCTGGTGTGACTGTTGTGGAAGTATAAGTCGAGCTGTGGTGGTAGTAGTTCAGCTCTTCGGCATCGTAGTAGAAAAATGAGCTCTTAATTAGATTTGCGAAGTTTGTGATTGAAGTCAATTCAGGATTTCAGTCGCGTTGTTTGGAGATGACCGTATTCGTTCGTGATAAATTTGAAGAAGCCATCAGTACGTGGAGCCACTATGTTTGAGGTCAATGGTGTGATATAAAAATTGGAAGATTCTTACAAGTCGCTTGAAAAGGACCAAAAACCGTGGTCGAAACGTTGTGAATTTCAACTATATTAAACTTGCCAGACATGGTCAAAAAAGTTCTCATGTTTTTAATTACTTCTGGCGACTTGTAAGAATCTTCCAATTTTTAATTAGCTTATTTCGAGAATCGCTCTGGAAGTCGAAAGGAATTATTCGATTGATTTCTCGTGTTAACATTTCTCGGGCTCCGCAGGAGTAAAGTTCAACCGAGGAATAGCACAAAATCCGCAAAACCTGTTAATAACAAAGTTAAGTCTTTAGGTCGAAGTACACTCGTCGAATCAACTGATATCGCATCTCTCTTTTCTACGTCATTGCTCAACGAAAACGAGATTAAACCTAATAGCTGCTTTTTGTGATCTTAGAACTGGTTTACGTAACACTTCAAACATTTATTAGTGGCAGCTATGTCCACTATATTGCGAAGTGAACTCTATTTTTTACTCCATGATTCATCGACGTGCTCGTGACTTATGTGGATTCATTTACATATTTTACCCACGCAAAAAAAACATATTTAAATTAGAACTAATTTATTTCCGTAAGGTTGAATCTGTAGTTCATCTTCTGATACTTTATCTCCTCTTTATATAACATACAAAACACACTCGACGATAAAGCTTACAACACAAACATGGGAAGAAATTATTAATTATTTATTCCCATTATATATTTGTTATCTATTATATTATTTATATTTATTATTTCATCCCCCCCATTACTAGTATTGTTATAGTTTAAAATATATACTGATTCAATACGCCAGCAAGGTCGCTAAAACGCACGATGTACGCGTCGCGAAAATGCGAAGAAATTGTGAAGGTGAAAGCGTCGAGGAGAAAATCTCTCTCCGGTAATTGCGTAACGCGATGCAGGCACATCCGACAAAAAGATATCGCATCCTGCTGCACGATTAGAGATAGAGAGACACTCGCAGGCTCACTGTCTGTTCGTTTTGCAGTGTTCGCGTTGCGTGATTACGGTTTAATAAAACACGCAACACGTTCGTTCGTAATTTTCGTGTTTGCGTTTTCTAATTAATCGTAAGAATCGATTGCATAAAGAACGCGATTTCGTTGGAAAACAAAAAGGTCCGTTCCTTAAAGTCTCTTAAAAACAAAATTTCCGTTGGTTTTTGTAAAACACAAATTGACCGACGATACCAAGCGTGTAATAAGCGGCGCATTTATTATTCTCTTATCGTTCCCACTGATACATACCGATTAGCACTTTTATTATAACAGCACGTAATTGCAAACACTCATCGTCGGTAAAGTTTTTTTTTGTTCGCGGCGAACGATAAAAGTAATGCATCAATCTCTGGATCGACAAACAAGGGTGTTCCGTGATTCTGATCAGAATGATCGAATCCTCCGATGTACGTACGAGATAACTGGATAATTTGTAACGATCGTAATGTCGTTTTCGGCGATCGTCTCGTGTTGTCCCATCTCGACATAGCATCGATATTAACGGAGCAAATTCGGGGAATCCGATAAGCCGGATTGCGTAGATCAACCGAAGCCAAGGGTTTCTTTTTACGCACCTGTTGATCCTGAAATCGAGATACGCCTTCTTCGTCTCGCCGGCACCCGACGTCGATTCGAACCGCGCGACGCAATGCGCGAGTACACGCGAGTCTCGCGCGCCGACTGATCGCGAGTCGCGCGCGAATCGCCGCGAGCCGCGGACGCAGATTTGGGTGACGCGGCGCGCACACACACGTACGCACGCTATTCTTTTGTCATCCTCGCGTGTATGTGCACGCGTCGATCGGTCAACGATCAACAATTTCTAGGGTCGCGATATCCGCGGAAAAAAAACAGTCGCTAAAAGGAGGTTGTTTCGTGTCAGATAAGACAAGAGCGAGTTAAGATTGTTGAGTAAGAAAAAAAATGGACAGCACTTTATTTAATTGACTTAAACACTGCGACACGCGGTGCAGTCAACAGAGGCAACCGATGTTGACAGATCGTAGAAAGCGCGGAGGAGGATGTTTCGAGTTAGATAAGACAAGATCGGGTTGAGATCGTTGGGTAAAAAAAAAAGAACGAGGGATACGCCTTACTTAATTGTAATTGAATTAAACGCTGCGGCACGTACAGTCGACAGAGCCAACCGATGTTGACAGGTTGCGGAAAGAGCGGGAAGTGAGGGGGGTATTTCGAGTCAGATAAGGCACAAGAGTGAGTTGAGATTAATAAATAAAAAATGAAGAGCTCTCTTTATTTAATTCAAACTCGGTGACGGTGTCAACAGACAATCACAATGTTCGCAATTGCGAGCTAAGTATAAACGTACAAAGTGTGTAAATCCGTGTAATTACCGCGGCGGAACCTTGCGGTTCCAGTTTGCGTACGTCGCAACCGCGACAGAGGCGGAATAATTGGACCCGTGTTGACAATACTCGTGACTAGACATTCGCACGTGACATTACACGTGCCGGACGGATTAAAGCGTGCGAATACGAATAGCAGAAAACGCGCGCGACGTGCGTTAAATTATTACGGAGGTACTCGTGCTGTTCATGTCCTCTCGCAGCTGCGTGCGATCCCGTACTCGCGCGCACATCAAGCTGTACTCCAGCACGCCGATACGAATGTTCATCTCGGCGATCTCGTTCCTCATCCTCGTGATCGTCTTCTTTATATTGATGAGCGGCGCTGCCAAGATTTTAGAGTGAAATTAGACGCCCGTGCCCGACGGAGTGACGACTTTATACTCACTGCCGTCCGTCATGCTGGATCCTCTCTCGTCCATCTCTCTCTTCACGTGTTCCAGCTCCTCCATTAATTTATTAAGAGCTCGCGTTCGTTCGGTAACGCCGCCGCTAACGTCTCTGTACTGCTCCTTGACTTTCGACAAGTCTTCCTGGATCGATGATGAAATATGTCACTCCGTATACGTAAAGAATAGAAATATAAAAAAATCGAAATCATTCAAACTGGCTTTAATTAGAAAAACTCTATTGCGGCAAATCAGAGCGCTGTTCAAAGTTCGAAAGAACAGTCGCGAAAATGCGAGTATGAGGTCCAGTTTCAAATCTTGGCTGAGGCTATTTTTTGCAATAAATTTCTTGTAAATTATAGCCAGTTGTGTCGAATAGTATCAATTTTCTGTTAGTTATTTACTGACGAAGAAAAGATTATTACTTGAAAAAAATATCTAACAATATAATTAAACTCTCACTTGCAGCGAGCGGTATTCCGTTAAGGACGGCTCGAGCTGCCTGTTGAGGTAGGTTTCTCTAGTTTTGATCTTGTCCAAGGTATTCCCGATGTCGGTGTAGATTTTGCTCAAGTGCGTCTTCGTACCGCTCAGATTGGTCGCGATATTCCCGCGCAATTGTTTCATCTGCTCGAGATGCGCTCTCCAGTCTCTCGAGTCTGCAACGTATTACGCTATGCAGTCGCGCTCGTTCTAGCCAGTCGATTTTCCCACGGAAACATTACCTGTCTTAACGGTCACTTTTAAACGGGGTAGAACCTTTTCCAATTCCAATTGCCACTCTTCCCTGTTAGTCGTAGACTCCAAAATGCTGTCCAGCTTTTGCGTCTCGCTCTGAAACGTAAATAGGCCCAGTTGACAATCCTACAACGGTATCGTTCGCTATTACATAATTCTCCTCTCCCAGAATAAGAATTTATCTACAGCATTTTGCCCGTAAAGCTTCGTAATGTCATCTATGTGTAAGATGTCCTGATCCTCCTCGTCGTCATATTCGGCCATCATTTCCTCCTCCACTTTCTCCAAGATCAACTCCGCGTCGTCGTCCTCGATTTCTGGTTCCGGGGTGGGCTCGTCAGGCGGAATATTCACCCTAGTGTCGTTAATTGTGATTCAACAATTCGTTTGTAACTTTTGCGACAAAAGCTGCTGTACCTTTTCCACTTGAATTCTGCCACTTTCAAAGCGTTATCAGCCAAATTATCCAAAACGTACACCGCGTGCTCACCGCTGCCCTGCTTAAGTTTGTTTGGCGGGAACTCCACGGGTATATCGATCTCCCTGAGATAATCCAAGATCAGGGCTATCGTGGAATTGGGATCGTCCGATTCTTGCGGCATTTCGAAGCTCCTCCCCACTCTCCTAATCAGCCACACGGCCAGGCAAGTGAACGTGTAAAATTGCTCGCCGGGATTCGTTGGAATTACAAAGTGATGCCTGTGTGTTTTCGATGTTTACAATTATCTTATCAGATATTAAATGGAGCATATTGCAGACAACATTGCCGATATCTTACCTATTGATCGGTTTCATTTTTAGCTCCTGCACGAATTCCGCGTCGTAGTTCAACAGCTTCAGCTTCTCCAACAGGTCCTCCATTCGGACGTTTATGACATACGGCGCGGACGGGGCGAGCCCGTCCTCCACGACGATTTTCTGAGCGTCCCGGAACATGTCGCCGCCTCTTCGATATGCTTTGCAAAAGGCTTAAACAACTGGGATAAAAATCACACAGATTAACACGCTTGTCAGAACTTTAAATCGGCGTCAGTTAATTAAACCGGGATTGCATCTCAAATTGATATGGTATCTATAATACGATAACACGCTCGCTAGACAATCGCAAAGCGGCAGCTTTTCGCCGCGTGACGCTTACCTCTGAACTCCGACACGTTGAGAATTAACAGCATACTCTGTATCCTTCGCGTGCGACAACGGAGATAAAAAAAACGTTAATTAATTAGTTGAACGATAGATCGATTGATTGTCATAGTGCAAAAATTGTCGATCACAGGATCGGTTCAGGTTCAGATTAAGCTCGCCTTTATCGAGGATCATCGACGATCATCATGAACGTGTCTCCCGAACAGTTCTGAAAAACAACAAAGCGGTCCCCACGTTTCGTCGGCGAGTTCGACGAACGTGTTCGGACACGTTGTTGAAGGGCAGGCGAGCGATCAATCGGGGAATTGATCGTCAAGTCACACGATGAATCCGATTTTACAGTCTCGGTTCAGTCCTCACTAATAGTCCCATGACTATTTCCCAAATGCTCGCTCATCCTTCTCGTGCTTTCAGAGGTCAGTTGTACTTTCCCATCGTGTCACATCGCATCACATCGCACACTCGTCACGTCTGCGTTGGTCTGCGTGCTCTTGCACAGCTACAAATAGTGCTGATGTGTACCGCGAACGGCGCGCGAACAGCGCTTTCGTTTATTTTTCTTGACAAAAGCAGTGGCGGGGTCTACCACTAGATGGCTATTGTCTCAATGAGCGGTCCTCGCCGCGCTCGATTTTGCAAATAATAAGCGCGAGATTGTTGTTAACGACGCGACAACGACGTCTCAGGTTCGCAAGGCATCTCGTGGAATCGCGCGGGACGATGCTCGATCGCGGGCGAGCGAAAAGCTACATTGGAGACAAAATGAGTCGGTTTCTCGCATGCGCTCCCGTATAGGTCTGTTGGTTTATATACCGCCCAAAGGAGTGTAGCTACTGGAAGCGTGTGCTAGTGATGGCACAACTGAACATTGATCGCTAACGTAGAGCTATGGCAGATCTGCTCAGTGGGTGTTGTCACGTTGTCGTAAGCTTCAATTAGCTTTGAGTGTCAGACTCCCGATTGCGCATGCATCTTCGTGGCTCGGCTCCACGACCACGGATCTGCACGCCTGCACGGTCCGAGTCTTCACGTCACTCCTCGAAGTACCGCGATTTCCAAATTGGGGGGCAATCGAATAGGTCAGACGAGGTAATTTGTCGCTTCCATATGCAGGCACCGCAGATGTCGGTACGCCATTTTTTTGCCCTTTAAAAAAACCTTTTTTGAACTTGTAAATTCAAAGATAGAAATCTCATTAGGTTGCCAGTAATAAATAACAATAATTGAGCTTTTAGTCGACCTTAACTGGCCGTGTTTTTAATAGAGAACACTTTTTGCGAAAAATATTTAGATATTTTCACCATCTCGCGAGAGAAAAGGAATGCAAGTTTTTGCAGCACTCGATTTGGCGATGGTCAGCTTAATTTAATAATAATAATGATGTACTTATTGCATATATAAACTATAGAAACATAATGGAGTTAAAGTGCAGATAGCAACAATCTGCTACTTTGCTACTTTGAAGCCTGCTAATAAAAAATAGTAAAGTTGAGCATAACAGGAGACGAATGTCGCAGAAACACAGATATATTCATACGCGAAGAGGAAATAAAATAAAATTCGAAATTACGAGGACTATAAGCTATACAATAATACAGTAATAAACTCGCGCATGGCGGACGAAAACTCTTAAAAATATATAAGCTATTTTGACGTCTAGGACCATTTCCAAGTTTCAAGGAAATAATTTACAAGTACACGTTATGTGCGCGAAATTGTTATTTTTATTTCAAGGTACAAAAGTGCCCTTACGGAAAAGAATACTCAAAACTTGAGTAAGGGTGCTCTCTGAAAAATATTCTTGATTCTCGCGATCTAACGCGTCTTTAGGCCTCGATCTTTTTCTGCGTCTCGCTATTGATCTCCGAAGAAATTTGCGTGAAAAGGAGATTCCAGTTCCAAACCTCGTCCGGTTCCTTCACTAAATTTTCATTGTACAGCTTGTCCGCGAGGAGAGAAAGGCTGACGCCGTCCAACGATGTGTATGCAGCATCTTTTACCAAATCAGTGTCCAATTCTGCGTACGCAGTCACCCTGTTTGCGTTGACTCTAGAAATAATATCCCAAGATACAAACAAATTTCTCTTTACTGACGTAATATTAGTCACATAATTATGAAATATTACGAGCTGTATTAAAAATGCGAAACAATTGTTGGCAAAACGGACTGTTGCAATTTATAATTTTCAATAATTCTCCCTCCCTTTCTTTTTCTCTTTGTTGCAAGAAAGATTTAATTATTTTAATATATTTGCTAGAATTATAATTATGCCCAATCTCTTCCGGATGGAGAATGTAGTCGTGCTGCTCCATTGGTGATAGACGACTACATTTTCCATCCGGACGAGATATCGGGCACAATTCAAATCGAACTCCACTCGGTGGGTTCGTTTAATTTATCATTTATAAATTACACGCGAGTTTTGCGTCGGAATTTTAATTCAATTTTTTTTATATACACCTTAAAACAATCTAAATGAACACTTACATAGGAGCGCTTGCAATCTCAGACGAGATATTGTCTTCCTGAATCTCGTCCAAGTCGGGTATAACTGGAATATCTACGAACGGAAAGCTCAATAATACGGAGGAAAGCGTGAGTGATAAAGAGAAATAATAACCAATCTAAATTTTTCTATATTTAGATTATCATTCGAAGTTGAATAAATAATTGATCTGAATTGGAAATAGAATTTCTGATTGAACAATGTAAACGGACAGGCAGAGATACCTGTCCCCATTTCCATAATTATAGAACATATTGTAGAAATGTTCAGGCATTCCTGCCTGTCTGTGTGCAAACTCCTCATACAGCTCGACCGAAATCAGCTTACCGTCTTCTTGCTGCTCCTTTTCGACCGCTCGAAAACGCTCCCTAAGAAATAGTTCGTCAATAGCTAGGTACTTGATTCGTCATTTTTGTGCATTGTACTCACTGTTCGATGAAGCTTGGCGCCGCCCTTGATCTGTGATAATGAAAAAGATGTTGCTTAACTAGTCGTCCTTAAAGGTTAACAAATTTATTTTAATCTATATACGTTTATTATCTTCTATTATGTTTACTTCTTTAAATATTTTATCGTTGTAAACGATTTGAATTTATCACAGAATAAGTTGAATCGATTGGCTCGCTTTCCAAGGAAAACGGAAAAGTTAAAATAATGTCAAAGTATGAACAAACTAAGAAATGTGCATATTTTCTGAAAAGATACGATAAAAAAAGAGCTAATATACAATCAGGTTTGTTGTCTGAGATCGAGATTTCCGTCATGATCGAAACATGACGTAAATTTGATCAATAATTGACATCAAATTGACACTATTTTGATTTCAAATTAATATACTTTTCTGTTCTCCTTGGATTATTATATACTGTACATTTAATACAAGCTCTGTGTGAATCTTAAGGATGTACGTGCGATAAAAATTTCTCAATGTTTTTTTCTTCTCTTTTCTTACTTGTTGTGTGCAGTAAACTTTTTTCTTCTATTTCCGAGACTTGAAGTCTGCTGCACGAACAGTTTCATTGCACATAGACGAAAAAGGGGAGAAAAGAACGTTGAATATTTGTATCGCTCATCCATCCCCGCCTCAGACTCATATTAGCTTTGTATTAATTACGTGCTTACTTACTTGCCGCTTTTCAATTCGTCGCCCCAGCCGGTTTTCCTCAATCGAGGTGGAGCTACCGGTCTTTGCATAGATACTGACTTTCCAGATGATAAAGAGATAGGGCTCTCCAGAGGATCATCGTCGGACTTGTTCTCCTCCGTCAAGTTACTCTGACCCGCGCGTCTACCCAGGCGAGGTAGCAGCTGCAAATTGCATTTTGTACAAGCGTAGCTTTGAATACCTTACACTGAGAAAAAAAATTGTTGAATAAGAAAAATCTCGATTCGACTGTATGCAGCGATCACAGGCTGTCAAGCAAATATTTCACAGTTTATTCACAAAAATATGTTTCATTAAATGACGTGTGTTTAACTTAAAAAATATATCTTTGAATTAAAGAAATACTGCCAACTGAACATACTTCGTCATGTCAACAACTTTTTCTCTCCGTGTAGAAATATCAGATTCTTAGACAATTGACGAAGTCAGTCGTCGGTGTCGTATCGGAATGAAGGAAGTCCTTCTGAAATTACCTTCTTCGAAGTGATCTCGAGATCGGTAGTCCAATCCATTTCGTTTATCGGTCACGCGATGTTAAACGATGCAAGTTCAAGTATCGAGTGAATGACTCTTGCGTTGCAAGCAACTTAACTCTGACTTTACGGTACATTTGACAAGTGTACAATCGCTGCTGCCTTGCGTTTGTAAGCGGTAACTATGACGACCGACTATACTCTTCCTCCACTGACACAACCACATATTTTTTTACATTACATGTGGGGTAAACGTGTATACATACGTACTTTACGTTTGGTAGGGGGGGAGGAGACTGTGAAGATTCCTCGTGCTATAGTGTCTGCAGTTTTTGAGACGAGAAAACAAAAGTTTCAAAGAACTATTCGTGCACCAAATTGCCGATTCGCTTATCCAACAATGCGACAGTTCAGATTACTGAACTTCCTGGCTGAAAGAAAATTTCTCTCAGGCTTGAATTGTTTTTCCTTCCTGACTTCGATATCATTTTAGGATTTTAGAGAAAATACTGGAGGATACCGCTAGGAGGGCGCAGCGCTTGATTCACAACGCCATGATCCATTTTATCGCGAACGTGGGAACTACGTAGCCACATCCACTTTTCGAGATGGTAAAATGCTCCTTTTTGGTCTATATCTGTGCTACGGTAGCACGCAAGTTTTCATATAGAAGGAAAGATCCCATGATTTTAGACTTTCCGTACTGATGATTTTTATGATAATCATCACTTGATGCTACAAATTCTCGAAACACTCTTCTCCTTCCTTTTAGGAAAGAAAGACGGAAGAGAAGACGCTTCAAAGCATTTGCAGCATCAAGTAGACCATAGCCGTCGCTATAAAACAAAATAAAAGAATATAATAAAAATGAAACTTTGGATATAAGAAGCTTAAGAATCCACGAAGAAGATGAATATAATCGTTAACGTCCATACCGGATCGTAAAGTACCAGTTCTCGTCCGATCACTGAAGTCAAGCGGTGCTGGGCACGGTTAGTACTTGGATGGGTGACCGCTTGGGAATACCGTGTGATGTTAACTTTTTTTTTTCATTATTATAGCGACAGATAATATCTGCCTTTAATAATAATTTTCATATATTACTCATATTAGTCGGATAACGATTTTTGTAGCGTTTATTATTGCATTAAAAATTTTTTAAATAACAGAACCATACAAGGCAAAACCATATCTAAATTGATCAGAAATTCTTCAGGGTCGCCAGCAAAAATTAACATCAAATTTGGTTGACCATATCTGGCAATTTTAATGGTTTAGTATCGCGACGTTTCGACCATGGGTTTTGGTCCTTTTCAAGCGGTCGTAACTGGTACAAATTAAATTTTACAAATTATCTAAATGTTGCAGGTGCTGAATTAATGAATATGAATAAGACCCGGAAATTATCGGATATTATTTGTTCCTTCGCTATAATAATAAAAATGTAAAAAAAAAGAGTTAACATCACACGGTATTCCCAAGTGGTCACCCATCCAAGTACTAACCGTGCCCAGCACCGCTTGACTTCAGTGATCGGACGAGAACTGGTACTTTACGATCCGGTATGGACGTTAACGATTATTCATCTTCTTCGTAGATCCTTAAACTTCTTATATCCAACTGACTGATATATCAAAAATTTTATTTTTATTATATGTATAACTGACTTGATGCTGCAAATGCTTTGAAACAATTTTTTTTATATCAAATAGGATTTATACATCAACGTTCGAAGCACGTTGAAAGTACCAATTCTCGTTGAGAGTTTCTGTCCTTTTCTTCTCTCTTGAACTAAACAGAAACGAAATTATATTAGTTTAGTTTATTCCTCCATTAAATTCGGTTCACTTCCACCGACGTGCATGCTTTAAATAAATAGCTTTCGCTGGATTCACATATGGTCACGCTTGTTCATACCAAATCGGAGGAAAGGATTATCCTCAAAAGAACGAACAAAATGTCGGACCTAGAAGCAACACTCGAGAATGTTGATATGTCAGAAGTAGTAAGATACTGTTGACTGTATTAGTCAAGTTTTCGCAAAACAGGACATAATTTCTACAGCCATGTAATGTATGAAACGAGAGATTTTATTAATTTCTTGGTTAGCTATGGTTCTAACTATAAATTACAAATGTATGATGTTCGAAACACCGTGTGATATCGCATATACACACATCTTTCGCATTTCTCCCAGCTCAGTGAGAGGAATATAATTAGCTGTTGTTAATATAAATTTTATTAATACTCCATCACTGCTTAATGGATTATTAACTAATTATTAAGTAATTATAACAATTTGTCACGCAAAATGAAAAGAGAATAATTTTTACACGGCCAACAGCACACGGCATTCTTGAGTGGACTTTTCAACATGGTATACTGTTATAAAACTAGAATGCTTAAAGAAATAATGGTAAATAAATATAAATTCGTTACGCTACTCCCTTTTGAGAACACAATCGAAGTGGAGATTAGGTAGGTGTTGCTTCTTTTTGGTACAATCGCGACAATATCGTATCTCAATAATTTTTCGCTGCTTCCACTTGATGTTCATACTCTTCGTCATCCGGGTTTATGTCGCATTTATTGTCATTATTCGGTATTCTTACTTCATTGTACCTGCAATGTAACAAAAATACATAAGAGCACATTTTTTTAAAAGTATATAACCCAGCGAGAAATGGCTCGTCAATCGACGAATCATTTCTCACTAGGAGGAATATATGAGCGAGTCGGATTAGACGAATTGAACGCGTACGAATACTATTGAACATTCTATTCATACGATTCCGTTCGATCTTTTCAATACGTCTGGTCAGCGGAGTTCTGTCTGTTTCATCGTATACAATAAAATTTTCTTTACAATTTGATTACAATGAAATTTCATTGTATTCTGCCGGTCTTAAAAATTGTTTCGCGAACCGAATTTACATATACAAGAGGGGGATGTCCGTGTCGAGCGTGAGACCGCGTACCTCGTAAAGTCACCGTTGCAAAGCCGCCAGGGCAGCAGGTCGATCTTGTCGTGCAGTAGAGACGAGATGTCCGGGCTGATCATGTAAGGTGTACCGGCGCCGGAACCGCGGGTCAGTAGCTTCCTGCTCTCATCGTAGCAACAGTGCTGCACGGTAGCGCTCTCGTTTTCCTGAGACAGTAGGGTCAGCACGCAGTAAACGGCGCCGGGCTTGTAGATCGTGAGCCGGTCCTTGTCGTGGCTCACGTCGCGCCACCGAAACTTCTTTTGTCGCTTGTTGTCCCAGATCTCGTTCTCGTAGAAGATGTTGTTCGGGTACAGGCAGGGGCACGCTGGCAGATCGGCGACTGATCCTGCGGACACGCGCAACACGTCGTCCACGTGAGGAATTTCTCTCGTGAAATTCACATAGCGAGCTCGACTATGCGCCGAAAAAAAAAATGTTCGCTACCGTAGCTAACCATGATTTGCTAAAAATATTTTGCTGGCATAACTATAAATTTCTAAACCGCGGCAAACGGTATGCCGACGCACCCAATGCAATAGGCACAGTAGCAAAATATCTAGCTATCACGACTAAATATTATAGCTGTTCATATTTTACAAGTGAAATTTAGTTGCCACATGCAGTCTTTAGCTACGACAGCTACATTTTCCTTTCCGTGTGGAGCTCCGTTTTTACCCGGAAAGGCCCTCTCGATCTTCTCCCAGTTGTTCAGCCACTTCTGACAGTGATCTTCGTCGTCGAGGCTACTCGCGGCACTCGAGCTCGGCACGTTGGGATCGTCCGCCCTGGAATTGTTCTCCAGCGCTTCTATCAGTCTTTTCAGGAGAGACTCCAGTCCTCTGTGATAGTAATCGTGAAAAGACTCGTGATCGTAGATCTGCATGTCGTCCGCGTTTCTCTCCGTGCGATTCCAAAGGGACACATCGAAGCCCTCGTCCTTGGTCTCATAAAAATCGGTTTTGTTAGAAACGCGGTCGGCCTGTCGCATCTTATCGCCCTTCGAGTTTCTCGATTTCGCGTTCGACTTCGTACGAGGGCGATGCGTCGTACGGCGTTTGATCCGCGAACGATAAGCTTCCCTCCTGTATTTGCAATTGTCCTCCTCGTCGAGCGAGTCGGTCGTCAAGTTAAAATTTAAAATTCCCTCCAGTAACAATTTTGTGCGGTTCGCCTCACGCTCGACATCTTGCGTCGTCGTGGAATTTTGTATCTAAAAAAAAGTAGCAAGTTTAGAAGCGTTACTATATAATCAGAATAATCCTGATATCAAATCGAACGACAAATGGACGCGGTTCTGCAATGCGAAATCAACATCTTACTTTTCCGCTGAAGCTTTCGCGGGACATTAGAAACAAGATTCTGTACCAACGTTACTTCAAATATAATGATCCAACTATGCTTCTCCCCAGATACAATTTCACACTCTTATCTGTAAGGCCGGTTCTACACTGATCGTATCGTAGTGTCGTAGGGTCGTAGACTCCCAGAGAAAAACCAAAAATCGCGAAAATGCCGCTTGGTCCCTTGTCGTACAGATGCATCCAAATGACCGGTCTTTTTTTCTTTTTCTCTTTTGCACGAGGCGAAATTTTTTTCGTAATAAATAAGTGCGATCGGTGTTGTGCTTTGCGCAATCAAGAGTCCGATTCGTTAAAACGGAGAGATCGATGACCGGCGTGACTGCGCGCGATACGTAAAAGGCTGACACGGTCGCAGCGACATCAAAGGGCGCCGGCATTTGACGCGTGGATAAGAAGAACGCGGAGGCGGAGAAGAAGAGGAACGGCGATCTCCGGGAGCGCGGAGGGGTAGAGCGTTTACTTCTGAGAAACGGCATGCCGCAAGATCGTTTCCCGTCAATGGCGTAGCCGCCTGCCGGTAGCGAAGACAGATTTTCGAGCGAAAACCACGCGGGGAAGGACCAAGCGCGAGTCCTTAGATGCCGGACATTCTTGGCTAGCGACGATCACTCGAATCTTTACGGGGATTTTCGAAGCCATGAAAACTCAAGTGACCTCGAACTCGTCGTTCGAAAATTCTTGCGTATTCTGAGGAAATCTGAATGATCCTCGAATGACCTTTCAAGATTTCGAGAGTCTTGAAAACCTAGGAAGCCCCCGAATAAAACGTTAAGATTCTGAAAAATATAAAACTTTTCTCTTTACATGAGACGAGAAATGACTGGGCTGAAATGACATAGCGCAAGATGTGTTGTGAGAGTAAAAATGCATTTTCCAAAAATATGTATAAATGTTGAAGATTTTCGGTGCGCTCGAGATTTTTTCGATGTTTCATATTTCAGGCGAGATTTTTAGTGTCAAATAATATTTCTTGTATACCCACGGATCGAATGTTAATACGCTTTAAGATAAAAGATGAAACACCGTTAGGGGTGCGCGAGGAGAAGAAAATATTAAATTAGAATTCGATAACGCAAACGGATAACACGACTGATAATGTTTCAAAGGTGCCACACAACCATGACCTACTGAGAAAGGACAAATCAGGTTAAAAAACGTTGCGCTGCCGGCTCGATTACCCGCGCGAATCATTTTCTTGAAATCGCGATTTCACTTAAATTGCTATTTTTTGACGCAACGAAAAGAGAGCGCGAAGAAGAAACCCGAGGTGAAATCGTAGCCTCGGACGACGAATCCCCGAGCGTGCACGAGTTTTGAAGGGGAGAATTACCCTTTGTCGTTCGACTCGTACTTACTTCGTGATCCTCGTTGCCTTGCGAAGCCACGAAGATCGTGTGAAAAACCGCGGCGACGCAAAGCACGAGCGGCGCTCTCATTCTGTCGCTCCGGGCTCCGATCTCGACGAGACGGCGGCGTTCCACTTCTCAGCTGTGCCCGACGTTTCGAACATAACTAGCGTGCCGCACACAATCGATACCCAAATACGGCGGCAAATCACTCCGAGCACCTTGCCGCCTCGTCACCGTCGGGTCGCGACGTCCCGATTTTTCCCGTCGTCGAGGACCAAGTCTGTTAACGATGTCTCGGGGTGGAAAATCGGCGTCCAACTTGTTTGTTTACCAGCCGCGTTCCACGCGATAAGAGAAAGAGAAAGAGAGAGAGAAGGGGGGAGAGAGAGAGAGAGAGAGAGGCCGTCGACGACGTGGGAAGCGAGCCGACCGATGACGCGTGATGTAAGACGGACGATAGGCAAAAGAACGAAGAGCCGAGGGTTCGGGAAGATCCCGAACGGGGGGGAAAGGTAGGCGCACGCGGCGCGCACCGTTCAAAGGTTCTACCGCTAGGCGCATAGTTGTGAACCGGTGAAGTCCGTGCCGCTGTAACAGCCGGCGATGGACAGAGGGAAAGACGGACGCGGAGAAGGGACGAGGGAGAGAGAGAGAGAGAGAAGGAGAGAGAGAACGAGAGAGCCCTAGCCTGACAGCCCTGGGTGACCCACGGGACGCACCATCGTGTCGTCCGTCGTTAGGCGTTATGACGTGCGCCTGCCGGTCGCCTGCCGGTCGCCTGCATTAGCCCTCAATTACGGAGTCTCCGGGATTTCCGCCACTTATTTCGTAATTTTCCCTCGTTTCCAACAAAAAGCGGGATGAATACCTCAGGCAGCACGGAGAATTCAAACCATTATTTTTTTTTTCGTATTTCCGAATAATGAAATTAATTCCCTTTCCACCCCATTTGTAAAAACATTTTCAAGTACAGCGACAGAACGGTTGCGACACTCTTTTCTTAAATGAGTTTAGGAACGCGCGTTAGATTTAGGTTTTCGCTTCAAAATATTCTCTCCGAGGACAGTTTTACTCGAGAAATGGACCGGGAACGAACCTGCAAAATGGAATGGCCGTCGAGTAAATTATTCCGCGGAGAAGAAGATTTTGGAACGTAACCCTGAGTCTAAACGCACATTTCTGAACTTATTAAAGAGAGAAAGGGTTGCAACCACTCTGTCCATCACTGTACATGTGAAAGTGGAGAGCGATTATTTTTAACTCTCCTCTTTCTACGTCTGCAAAAGTCCCGTTTTGTCACTCCAAGGGCTTATGCCAAGATTAGCAATCCATCGCGGTTCTTCGGGGCTTCCCAGCGTGCGCGAATCCTAGACGGTCTCCCTGAGTTTCTTCGTTTCTCGTTAGTCTTTCTTACGTTTCTTTATTTCATTTTGCTTCTCATTAACCCTGCCGGTCTACTGTCCCCGAAGTCTTTTTCGTTTATTCTCCCGAGTTCTAGACATTCTCTCTGCGTTTCTTCATCTGATTTTGCTTCTCATTAGCCCTGCCAGTCTACTATCCCCGAGATTTTTTTCGTTCTCCCCCGAATGATCGGTCGTTACTTCTCGCGGGATCAAGCCCCCTTAATTAAGCCTTGTAAATATTCTGTAATGTCTCCCGAGATCATTCTGATCTCGTAAACACTGGTCACTCGCAAACGTCGCGACTCATGATAGTTTGCGGCCACGGCGTCGAACTCGCGGACTTTTCTATATGGTCTTCGAGACCATGAATATATTAAATTAAAATTCTTAATATAAATTATGAAATATTAATTATGTAAGTTAACTTGATTTATTTATCGGGACTGCATTTTAACTCGAAAGAAAGAAGCTCGCTTAAAATCTATTGTTCAACCCTTCCATGATTAAAGTATTTTTTTCGTTGATTTTTTTTAAACAGGACATTGTTGGCGTTCGAAAAAAAGGGCAAGAAATGCAGGAGGCACTTATTTATATGTTCCAGTGGTCACGATCGTTAAAATGCAACGCTAAAGAAACGAAACCCGAGTTTGAAAAACGAAACTTTGGTTTACCAAAGATAGAAAAGATTCGCTTTGAATATGATAATGAATTTCCATGCATCGCCGCTGGAATCGTCCTTCCGCAATCGTGCGGAATGCCCCAAAAATGTTGCGGTAATGAAATTTCTTGCACGCACACGCGTGTGCCATGCGTGTGTCGCGTGTGCGTGCGCGTATTACGAGGATCTAAATACAACGGTGGAATGCAGAGAAACGCGTTCCGGTTATTTTTAGCCGGGCCGATTCGAAAATACACCCACGGCGGATTAAATATAGCCGTGGATGGATGCATTCGCGTACGCGGAATGCAGCGCGCCGGCACGAGAGCGATCTCTCGAGTGTCGCGAAGGAGCGATATGCAAATTCGCGCGTCGTCCTCGGCTCGTTGCTCCAGGATGAGACTCGAACACCGTAGATCGGTATCGAGGATAGGATATAGAAATCTGTATCGCTACAGACTGCGCAGAGATTTCCTAGGAGAAAATGCCGAGTCTGTCATTTATCGTTTTCAATTCCGTTGCCTGCTCTTCACAATCCCACCAACCGAAAGATGAAAATTTTATCAAAGTATCAATATTTAAAGATATATTACTCTCTCCCAGATCGATTATATTTATCGAAATAATTAGAGGAAAGTTCCCTATTACGAGATCGTATGTGAGATAGCAGGTTTTCAACGTCTAAATTCAATCACAAATATTTTTTCGCGACGATCACACGATCTAACAATGATTTTTCCACTAAACAGATTTCACTTGAACAGCAATAAACTCATGGAACCAATAGACGATGCTTGTTAATTTAAAGCGGAAACCCCGCTATCTCACATTAGAAACTTGTCTCATAATAGGGGACTTCCCTGGATATATTTGTATGCAAGATAAAATATGTCATGTTTATGAAAGACTATGAAACGGACTTGTATATACGTATACAGTATGTATTCATATTCTTTCATAAACATGACACACATACACACATACTGTATATATCTATATCTATATAAAAGAAAATAGAGACGGATTTCTATCACTAGGTGGCTATTGTGTCAACGATCGGTCCTCGCCGCATCCGATTTTGCAAATAATAATCGCGAAATTGTCATTAACGGCGCGACAACGACGTCTCACGTCCACGAGGCATCTCGCTGAGACACGTCGAACGACGTTCGATCGCGGCGAGCGAACGAGCTACGTCGTAGATAGATGTGGCAGGTTTCTCGTGAGCGCTCGGTACCAGTGAACTTTGTTTATATATCGCCCGAAAGAGATAGATTCGACTTTCGGAAGCGTATGGTGAATACTGGGAACGAGAATTGCATTATTCAACTTTCTAATAATTGAACGACTTACAAGACTCCTGAATGCGCGTGCATCTTCGTGGGCACCACACCACGGATTTGCACGCCCGCACAGTTGAGTTTCATCTCTCAAAGTACCAATCCAGGAAATATAGGTCAGAGAGGTATTTGTCGCTTCCACATGCAGGCACTGCAGATGGCCGTATGCCACATTTTTGTCTCTTGAAACCTTTTTTTTGCAAATCTTTTGCAAATTTTTTTGCAATTGGAAATCATTTGGATCCGCTGGTTTCTCTTTCGAGAAACTTTAAATCGGCATCAAGTACTCGCGACGGTTCAGGTATTTTACTGCTTTTTTACTATTTCGCGGAGACGGGGACGTTTTTGTAAATTTCGATTTGGGAGGTGAGGCTGCGACGATTATTTTCTAGGATTATTTTCAATTTTTTAAGAAATATATGTACAGCGAATGACGTAACGCGTTGTTATGTTCAGAACAAGTTTAATTTTTGTTTCAAGATACAAAAGTGTTCTAAGAAATACTCTTGACTCTCACGTTCTGACGCGTCCTTTGCTGGTTGCTCTGAGACAAGACGTGAACACCGCTTAGATCGGTATCGATAGGACGTAGAAATTTATGTTGATAGAGACTTTCTTGAGGAAAATGCCGAGGCAGTCTGTTGCTTATCGTGACTTTTTAATTTTACTTTCTTCACATCCCCAATCAACAAATTGAAATTTTATTAAAGTATCAATACTTAACGATAAATTATTCTCTCCGGTCATATTTATCGAAATAACTACGTATTTGTGCGCAGCATAAAATACGTCATGTTTAGGGAAAAGTGCGAAGAAGAATTGTGCCAATTATTAATTTTTTTATTAAATGTATATTTTTTCATTGGCGATTCATTGGTGCGTTGCGATGAATTTTCTGTTTCTCTTCAGTGCGATTGAGACCAATGAAATATCGCGGGGTTTCTATGCTTCCACGCGTCTCTGCAGAAATGAGGGGTGTAGTAGATGAATATAAAATTAGAAGACTGAATATAATGAGACCCCCCGTTACGCTGGCACGTGTGCTAAAAACGAAGGAGGTCACGGTTCACGTGGAGGGACGAAGCCGGAGCGACGTCTCGTCGAGCGAGTACACTGCGTGATCGCCCGCAATTTCGTTCAATCTTGCGAAATTGCGCGATTTCACCGCGGGACAATTATTCAATCGGGATATCACGGCGTCTTATTTTACTCAATCTCATAGGGTCGCGGGCGGGGCCGATTACAACGTAATAAAAGTCCCGTGCGATTTACCGTTGCTGGAACATGGAGGAAATGTTGAAGGAAACGGATACTCTTCGCAAACAAGTAAAATATACCTTCTCATATTTTTCCTCTCAATTCTCCACGCGACTTGAGAATTATACACCTATGTATCTATACTTTCTAAAAGTCAATCAGTGAACCATCACTGAAAACAGTGAATAGTCTGCACTGATTTGTAGTTGAAACTATAGAGGAAAGTCCCCTATTATGAGATAGGCTCCTAATAGATAGCGCAGTTTCTGCTAAATTAAATAGGCATCGTCTGTTGATTCCATCATGAATTGATTACCCTTGGTGTGAAGTCTATTTAGTGGAAAATTGATTGTTGATTCGCGTATTCGTTGCGAAAAAAGCTTTGTGATTGAATTTGGTCGCTGAAAACCTGCTGTCTCACATTAGAATCCTATCGCATAATAGGGGACTTTCCTCTGTTACTGAAAATTGCGGTGGTACGCTTATAACTGTAAATCAGTGACTATTCACTGTTTTCTTATTGATTTTAATCCACTGATTGACTTTTGGAGAGTATATTTTTCAAGTGTCTCAATGATTTGATTAACATTTTCCACTTCGCACTTGTATAGTAAGCAAAAATTCCGATCACAGAGAATTAAAACGTCATACGTTTTATATCGGGCGTCTAAGTATTGTTTTGAAAGATATCAACGAGTAACTTATCGCGTGAAGGCGTAACGATACGATCGCGCGAGAGAAACCCGGGAACAGCAAGCGATCTCTTGCACTTCGCGTTTGCAATCCGTTCTTGCTGTCTCGTCGACTGCCGTTGCTGTCAATTCGCATCCTAGCGGTTTTGTCCCCAACTCAGTCGAGAAAGACGTATTGCTATAAAATAATGAAAAATGCAGCAACAATGCACCACGAAGTCCGTATCCTACAGAATTAAATCCCGCGAGAACGTTGGGCACCTCCTTTTGGGAGATTCTTATCGTCTGCTAGAGAGGAATCGGGGTTTGCAATAATCAATAATTGCAGTCACAATGTCGCTTAAGTATCATTTTATTCCTTGTTTTTTTTTGCTCTCGCTTGGCTATAAATAAATTCGGCGAGATGCGTCGCCGTTTATATATGTACACGCACAGCTCGACCTCGTCCGTCTAATCCTACGTTTACGCTTACGGCAATAATTTAACGGTGCTACGATTTAGCAGTACACTAATACAGAGATATATCGTTAGTTCTATACGTGATACTACGCGCGCACTTGGGAATGTTCTTATGTACAAGAGTAGCTGCGTGTGGCGTGCCGATTGCAGGATCATCACGTTGGATCTCCGGGAATGACAGCGCTAAGAGAATGCTCCGTTAATCCATTAAAAGCCATTAAAACTACGAGTTAGTAAAACAGATTGGACCGAGCCCTTCAGCGATGAAGCGATCGAATAAGAGAATCAAAAGGCTATAACGCGATCGGTCGACAGCCTGACTATTTACAACGAAAAGTTATCCCGCGATCCTTTAGCCGCGAGCAAAAACGAGCTAACGATCAAATCTTTATATATTATACTTGTATAAAGAAAATGCAACTCGGGATGTGCGCCAATTGGATTTACATATATTGCTGCGATACCCTTGGATGGTGTTTCAAGATAGGGAGATGGAAAAAGAGACATAGAGGAAAGTTCTCTATTAGGATTCTAATATGAGATAGGTTTTCAACGTCCAGATTCAATCGTTTTTCGCAACAATCACGCGATCTAACAATCAATTTTCCACTAAACAGATTTCACTCCAAGGGCAATAAATTCATAGTGGGACCAACAGATGATGCCTATCAATCTAACAAGAAACTGCGCTATCTGTTAGGAGCCTATCTCATAATAGGGGACTTTACTACCACGCGATACTTGGCATTGCCAAGGGAGCGAGGGAGGAGATAAAAAAAGGTTTATACAGAAAGTTAGCTTTACGATATCATCCCCCTGATAAGATCAGAAGTGCTGGGAGAAAGTTGAAAGAAATAACCGAGGTGTACAGGAACTTGTTATACGACATTGCGAAGAAGAGGGAGGTTTACGATAAATTCAGGAGGGCTTCAAAGGGCATCTCAACCAGCGCAGGCGGAAGAGGTGCCACGTATACCTTTCATGGCAATCGATGACTTTTGTGGAAATATCGAATATATTCCCGTGTATTACAGAGTCTAGACAGGGATTTCCTCCTCTCCCCGAGTTTCTTTAGCTATCGCCGTTTGCCTGACATAGCGCTTACCCCAGCAGCACAGTGCATTGGCTAAACATTGGCCCAGTACAACCAAATATTGGGTCAATGTGTAACCAACGTTTGGTCAATGCACTGTACTACTAGGGTAATCACGGCCGATACCGCGTCTCCTCGGAAGCGTGTCGCGATCAGCTTTTCTACCCTCTTAACGACATCCGCAACGGTCGGCGATCATGTCCTCGTACATCTTGAGCACGACGTTCTCGTTGTCGTCGTAGAAGAGGATGCTGGTGCTGAGCAGCTTGGTGGGCACGCAGCACGGCCTCTCGACGCCCTTGGCCATCTTGTGCACGATCGCCTGTATCGTCGCGTGATTCGTCGGCCGCTGGTCCTGGCTGAGGGGCGGCTCGCACACGCCCTTGCACTGGTACGCGGAGTAGCCGGCCGGCGCGATTATCGATGACGACAGCCCGATGTCGCGAAAGTCCACGTAGAGCTCGTGCCTCGTGCACTCGGTCGCGTTCCCCGGCTGCTCCGGCGCCGTCGGATTCTGGCTGTTCGCCGACCGCGCCGGTCGGCGACGTCGCCCCGCCGCCAATCTGTCTCGCGCCGCTTGGCCCAGCCTCTCGCGAAACATCGCTCTCTCGTAGATGTCCATCGACGTGAGGATCCGCGTGATCCGCGAGCGGCCTTTCGACACGATACCACCGGTGGTGCGTCCGCGAGAGGGGTCCGCGTCGCGCCGACGGCGCTTCGTTACTTCCAGAGGACCGCCATAGCGAGAAGCTCCGCCCTGGTCATCTCCCCCATCCTCCCCCTCCTCCTCTTCTTCGCGTCTCTTCTTTTGTCGCTGGAAAAATTCCGGCTCGCGTCTATTCACCAACGAGACCTCCTCGGGTTGACCGCCGCCTCTACGTTGCCTCTTGTGCCTCCTGTAGTGCCCGGCGCTGTCATAATCGTTCTCCAGATCGATCTTCTCGTTTCCCGCGTCCTTCTCGTACACGAGACCCTTCCCGCGGTTCCTATTGTCATCGTCCTGGTTTCCATATGCGTAATATTGCGGCGCGACCACCGATCTTCCGCTGGTCCGGTCGCTGCTGTCGTCGTCGAAGAGCACCAGTATCGGCTGCTTGCTGTGGTGATAGTCGTCGCGGCGGGAGAACTCCACCGACACTTCGTCCTCGAAAAGATTCTGCGCCATCACCAGGAGGCCCAGATTCGGCTCGCCACTCATCCACTCGAGGACAGCTTGTTTCACATTGAATATCTGTACAAACGTCACCTAACTGAAGTATCCAATGCGACATATCACACATTTAGTTACGTAAAATTCTGTTTTTTTTAAATGAAATTGACATCTCGATGTTTAACGAATTCTTCAAGCTATGAAATAATTCGATAAATTGTCAAGGCATTGTAAAACGAAAAAGGATTCTAAGAAAAATCTTTCTAGAGACAATCACAGGGTTTTTCGGCAAATCTGATCTGATTTTGAAAATAATGGCGATTAAAGGTCCAAGACATTCTTAAAATGGGAAATCAGACATGGAAAGGATATAAGAGTGGAAACTGTTATTTCGAAAAAATTGTCAACGCCCACCTGCCAACCGGAAGCGTGCGCGCCGACGTAACGAACGCTCAGCAATCTGTGAAGCTCCGGCACGTCGAAACTGCGATCGTCCAGGACTTGGTACACCCTTATCTGCGCATATATCAAGATGAACGCGTCAACACGGCAGTTCAGTCTGATTGTCATGCATTTGAAGATTGACAGCTCTGATCGGCGACGCCAGCCGTGCCAGGCACTTACCAGATAATAAGGCGACGCGGACGTCAGCGGACGCACGTTCCTCGGCGGCGTTTTCTTCCGGTAGAGATGCAGCTCGGCCTCCAGCACCGATTCGTTCATCTCCAGCCCCGAGACGTTGAAGAAGTAGAAGTGCGACAGTGAAGGGTCTGCGCGCGAAACAACGAGAAACGTTTAAGATCCGTGATTCTCTCGGTCCGGCCAGCGGATTCCGTCCGAGTTTCGCGATTATACTGACTGAAAGAATTACCCCTCTCGACGAAGCTGCGCACGACTCTGGCGTTGTACGGATTTCGGCCTCGCGTGACCCCGCTGGGATCGGCGATAGTGTTGTAGAGCTCCATCATGAATTGCGGCGGTACCTTGCGGTGGGCCAGATTCTCGTTCTGACTCCGAATACCGAGGATCTGCAACGCCGTTAAATGCGGGGATTGAGATGGTGTCATCGTTGCGAAACGACAAATTGCGAATTCGGAACTGCGGGAGATTACGACGCCGGGTTTGAAAGGTCCGCGTGAGACGAGCGAGTTCGAAACGTTGCGCGTTGGGCGGATCATCGCCCCGAATCCCGATCCCAAATAGCACGGAGAATCCAAAGAGAACTCCTTTTTTTTAATTCCCGAGTTATGAAATTAATTCTTTTTCCACTTGAAAAAGAACACAATCTTAATTTCGCTTTTGTATCGTCAATAATTCCGAGTTCTTGTTCAGGTACGAAAGGAATTCTTTTTATACTCTATATAAGAATTCGCACGAGGGAATTGTTTTGGAGTTCATTTTGAACAGATTATTACGTCAATTTATAAGGAATTTAAAAAAGTGAATCCTTCGTGAGTCCGTAACGACCACCTGTGCCATTTGGGATGCGTGACACGCGCGAACACGTTTGTCGTTCGCGTTGGAGAACGTTAATCGCGGAATTAACGTCGTTGTCACCTCTTGCATCTTCTGCAGGGCCTCCTCTCGTCGGGGCGCGAGGTCGTTCTCGTCCGCCGATCGGACGAAGGGCCACGACGATCCTCGAAGCTCTCGCTCGAGGCCATCCTCGTCCTCGATCCGGGTCTCCGACTTCGGGTACGCGTTAACGTCGCGCAGAGACGCCAACGAGAGCAGCAGCACTAGGAAGCGACACGGCGCGCCTCTCGTCATCACCGTCGTGGGTCCACGTACGTCGCGAGGGTGACTTCGTCTGTCCTGTTTCCTCGATCGCGCGATCCACTGTCGATCCCGAGAAATCGCATGCGAAACTCACTCGGCACCGTCTCCGTCTCCGTCGCGCGTCGGTTTACCCTTCCATCGCGGCCGAGAAGGACAGGGAGCCCTTCCTCTCGAGTGTCCTTATCCGGCGCGTCCTTATCAGCGCGGCAAGAAGGCGGAAAGAAGTATACGCGCACGGAGGAGATTTTGCCGAACCGAACGGGATGCTAAGTGGCATATGGGAGGTCTTGGCCGCGAGGAGTCACCTTTATGCTACGCCGGGAGTTGCCTCCCCCGCAACTCGTTCGCCCCCCGCGGCATTGGCTCTCTTCTCGCTTCTCCCTCGCCGTCGTCGGTGGACGGGGACCCCTCGGCTCGGATCCCGTGGCGCGATCTTCGCGCTCTAGCGATGTTGCCTCCAGTATTCCTTGGCCCTTTAACCCACTGGGCGGACTCGCAAAAATACGCAAGTCGAATTTGCGCGATCGTCACGTAAAGTAAAAAAATTTTCCACTTGAGGAAAGTCCACTTAAACTTGCGTCCGAAAATGCTTTTCTCACAGCTCTTCGGGAGTTAGTTTGTTTTTCGATTTTTTAGCGAACGCATAAATTATTTATGCAGCCATTTTGAATTTTGCAAGTGGAACTTTTATGTGGTCACGAAAGGGTTAAAGAGCGAAAAATTGATGATGCACGAGAGATATTCTCATTGTAAAGCGCGGACTTGGACATTTCCAAATTCGACGAAATATTTCTCCAGGAAAAGGAGCGATAATCGCTTTCTCTGACTGGGATTCGTTGGGGAACGATGTACGAACGTTTTTTTTTCTGCGATGATCAATTAACTGGTCGAGATCGATGAGAGAAGCCGAGACTTTAAAAAGGCCGAGAGATACGAGGTCGCGCTCCAACGATGACACCGCGCGGCTATTAAAAACGGCGAGCGCTTCCTAAATTCCGCGGATTCGTAAGTGCCGAGTTATGTGATTGGTCACGCGGCGATATTTAGGCGGATTTGACGTCGACGATTTATTTATTCGTACTCTTAACGAGAGACTCGCGAGGGCCGATGATTTATCCCGGCGAATTTTTCTCGCCCGCCGACTTTATTTTCGTACGGTGCTTTGTTTTTTCTAATTCCGAGGCCTTGCCCGAACCCGCGGTGCCGTTCGCGCTGCATTGTCGGCCGATAATCGCAGTTGTGCAGATACCCCGCTCCGTTATCGATAAACGTCCGCCCACGTGGCCGGACCGTCGCGGTCGCACGCCAAAGTCGCAAAAGACGCGGCGAGATATTTGCCAATTGTTGGGCGCGCGCGGTGGAACTATACTTACCGAGGAATCTCTAATTTTAGCGCGTGATTGACTCTATTGTAGTCAACAATAGTCTCTCGTGGGTGCGTCCCGCTGAAATTGGGGCAATCAGGCGCCGGAGGGAGGTTTCGACTCGCCGCGTAACGTAAGAAAGTAACACGGGGAATCGCAAAATGCTGACCCGTAGAACTCGTTTCTATCTATACAAGCTTCATTACCACGGTAAATTTAATGAGTGCCGATTAGCGATACGAAATACAGGGTGCGGGAAAGGAAGGCACACGTCTCGTTCGTGAAAACATCTTGGATTTATTTAGCCACATGGGTTTGTACGTGATGTACCTAGGAACATGGGTGTACGCGCAGAATATGTCTAACACGCTGTCTTTCTCTCCCTTTCGTTTCCGATTCGACTCGGACGTGACGACTCGCAGCGAAATAATTTCAGTCTAGACGCAGGCACACTGGGTGATTTGAATTATTTCTCTCCTCGCTCCTCGTCGGGTTCTGAAAGTTCCAAACGTGACAACGTTAGACACCGATCGTGTTTTACGTTTATACCTGGAGGAAAGTCTCCTATTATGAGATAGAGTAGTATGAGACTGCGGAGTGTCTGCTAAATTAATAGGGATCATCTGTTGCTTCCCTCATAACTTGATTGCCCTTGGAGTAAAATTGGTTGAGTGGAGAATTCATTGTTAGATCGTGTAATCGTTGCGAAAAGAGATCTGCGATTGAATTTGGATGTTGAAATCCCGCTATCTCATGTTGGAAGCTTCTTTCCTCCATAATCCTCGAGTTGGAACGTCGAGAGATATCCGATCGGGAATTAAATTTCTTCTCGAGATGTACGTGATAACAATTGGAATTTGTAAGCTCTACCTGTACTCGTGCACTTTAAATCTGGCCGGGGTGCAAGTGTGCTGCTTCGAATACAGGCCGGCTAAACACCTGGATGGCTCCTTTTTGTCCCGCAAAAGGCACGTCTCCGTCTCGTTCCCCGGACACGTTCCGACGCATTGACCGACGTTTATTTGCTGTCAAGGGTTACAGAAATTAATATCGCCGATACAAGAGAGACGAAAGAACGTGCATAAAGAAATTCGAGCAAAGTGACACATCGACATGTTAATCCTTCTCTTAATTTTATCGAATATTTCGTACTCTGATCACGGGCCTCACGTCTGTCGTGTTCGTGCCCTCTTTGATTGTCAGCTCGCTGTAATCCAGCACAGTTTCCATGTGGTCCATCCGGTGACAATGACCGGCGCAGCTGCATTTCTCGACCATTTGGTAGATCTCGTCACCTTGAAAAAGGGGCGAAAACCTCAATGCGGACGTGCTTGTAAATTACTTAGACTTTGGAGATTTTAATCCCGCGTTTACTCGACGCTCATATACGTACCGTTTGGTCCCTTGACGCTGATTGTGTTATTCCGGACCGGCTTGCAGCCCAAGTCTTGGAAAAGTGCAAGTAGAACGTTAATTTTCGGCTCTCGTAAAAATCGCAGAGACAAAACCGAACGAAGGAAAGACTGTACTCTCTAAAAATTACTCAGTGAATTATCGCTGAAAACGGTGAATAGTCATCGATCGACTTTCAGAGAGTGGACAACTGTTTTTATCTATTGAAGAACATTGCCAATGAAATTAATAACTGGAAGACGACACGCGCAATGATAATCGCGTATGGACCACCGTATTTCCTCTTAGTCACGTCCCGGAGAGTTCTCGGGGGGTCGTACCTTTGCCGCAATGGCCGATGCAAACCCCGACGTCCACAACTGTCTGGTAGGGCGTACCGGAGTGTACGTGATGGGTGTAGGACTCCCGTCTGCAGGCCGATTCCGGCGAGCACTCGCAGGCGTCTATAGCCTCGATTACGCGAACACCCTGCAACGTGGACACTCGCTCCAGTTTGGCGGCCCTCGCGCGACAGTGGGAATCCGATGAACATTTCTGAAAGGCAGGCAGCGAAATCCATGAATATCTTTTACAGAATCATTCGGTTTCCTTTCGCGCGCGTATAATCTCAGGTGTGTGACTCAAGGTACGGAAATGATACGTACGCTTTTCTAAATCTCTATTGTAGACTGGGACTTAGGAAAAATAGTATCGTGTGCCGTTGGCTTTAGTAAAACTCAAGATACGGAAACAGTACGTATACCAACGACGTCTACATAGTAGTACATACGTTATTCCTGTTCCTATTTCCGATCTTTCTCGGCAGTGAGAACGAGACATCGAAGAGTGATTGATATCAAAGATAATCCTTTTTCTAATTTACATTTCATAAAATATTGAATAAAGTTAGCGACACAATTTTTATATATTAATAACGAGATATTTCTTAATATTTTGTACAACTTATTTCGTGAAATAATTCCGATCAAGAACTTTAGGCTATCCTTGGTTGCAAAGCCGCATGGGAAGGTTTCCAATGCCGAAAGATGTAAGGATATAATAAACCACTTAGCATTAAATATTTTATTTAATATGCAATCCTGCAACATAAGATAATTTCTAAATTGTCAGCAGAATAGCTTCAGGAGATTAACACAATTAGTTATCTTTTAAGCTGAATCTTAAATCTTGAATTTCTTGGCGATAAAAGTCTTTCGGTTTCGAGCTAAAGAATAAATCAAGCTCCCTCTTACACCACATTATTTATGGGATGACCCAATTTTTCGATTATTTTAAATTGAACGTTGTTGAGAGATAAAGTCTTAAAATCAAAACTCGTCTGGAAGAAGGAAAAGGTTTGACCGACGATATTAAGAAGGTATTTCGCGGGATAAAAAAGTAAATAACCTCAGAGACTCTTTTACGGGTCCAGAAGTTAATGCGTGCCGCTAATAGTTCGCAACTAATCAAGCCAGTTGTCACGACGTTTTTACGTAGTGTAAAAAAGCCGTTTTAACGACGGCTTTAAAGACACGATCGCGCCTCGCTATCGGGGATCATATCGGCCGTTTCAATAAATCTGTCGCCCCCCGGGCGACTGCCGTCATCCATCCAGCGGGATCCAGCGGGCGCATAATTCCGGGATTTAGTGGCTGGACACGCCGGCGCCGGCGCCGCGGAGAGGATCGGTGACCGCGGCGCCGGGTCCGACCTTCGAAGGACGCAAAACACGTCGCCCTGGTCGCCTCGGCGTTTCGCGTGCACCGCCTCCACCTCGCCCGACGGTCCCCCTTTCCCCCGGTCTTGCCGTCGGGGCCCCGGCTCATCGCGCCATCGTGGCGCGTAGCACGGCTGCTGTAAAAAAACCATATCCGCGCCCACCGACCGATCGGATTGCGTCACGTAACGAAAATAGCCCTCCTCCGCGCCCCGTCGACCGGCCCGGCCCGAAGATCCGGAATATCCGGGAAGGTGTCGTCCCCCTTATGCTAATTCCACGCACGTACTATCTAATAAATTGTGGCAATCCATTAACAATTGACCGTAAAGTGTAATCGGGTAATCCCGGAGACGAGCATTTTTTTAATTGAAATGGAAAGCGTACGCGCTCGTCGTTTTGGCATACGGTGGAATGGTGAGAACAAATAAAAAAGACGTTCACCTCGTTTCTTTACTTAAACAATGAAATGTGCACGTTCGTCAATTCGACGGTGTCGATTCGACAATTTTTCTCGATCGATTTAAAGACTCAAGATTGGACCAAACACAAGTAAAAGGCAACACTCGCAAAGCAGGCATCGAGTCCCATGGGATCTCTTAAGGCTGGTCTACAATACATGGAGTAAGCTGGAGTAAGGAGTAGGAGTAAGGAAATAAATCCATCAATCATGGCATTTTGATTCACCGAGAGTAAGCCTAAGAGCTGAAGTAGGAGTAAGAAATAAAATGGATTTATTTCCTTACTTCTACTCCTTACTCCAGCTTACTCCAGCTTACTCCATGTATTGTAGACCAGCCTTTATGTATTTGCAATCCCATACAGCACAAACTTCCAAGGGACGGCCTCAGAACATCTTTAGGACGTCCTTAGGACATTCTACGTCCTAAGGACGTCCTAAAGATGTTCTGAGGACGTCCCTTGGAAGTTTGTGCTGTATGGGATCCCTCACATTTGCCGTTTGGAAGAAGCCTTCCCAGCGAGAAATGACTCATGGATCGATGTCGAAACGATGTCGAATCGATGTCAATTCGACGGATCTATGAGACATTTCTCGTGTGGGAAGGCTTTTTCCAAACGGCAAATGTGAGGGATTGCAAATATATGAAAGATCCCATGGGACTCGATGCCTGCTTTGCGAGTGTTGCCTTTTATACTTTTACTTGTGTTTGGTCCAATCTCGAATCTTTAAATTGATCGAGAAAAAATACACTTTTAATATTTTTCCGTTAATGTTTTCCTTAAAAATAGATGCCCATCGTGCGTGTAGAAAATTTATCATTCCTAACTATATTAATATTAATTTTAATACAATGTAATTAATTATCTAGGAACAATATTACATACATATTTTACACGGAGAGAATTTTCTCTTGAAATTTACCCTGAAAATCATGTAATCGTGAAACAATGTGGCATTGCGAAGAACTTTATACGAGTTTTTTTTAATTTCACCATACATTTTACTAAGAAAATGTATACGTTTAATTACTAGTAAAACGTATGGTAAAATTTCGAAAACCTCTCATAAAATTCTTCGAAATGCCGCGTTGTCTCAGGATTACATAATTTTCAGACTAAATTTTAAGAGAAAATTCTCTCCGTGTAGAAAAGGTATTACAGCGTAATAAGTACGTGGAAGAGGGATTATAATTTTATCCACGAATGAATTGTTTGCAATTTTCTTTTTGCAAGATGCAAGACATTAACTATTATATTAATTCATTCGTATGCTAAGAAGAAAACTCCCTTCACCGAAGCTCAAGCCAAGAATAGCCGCCGAGGACTTCAACGAAGTCTGCATGTAACAAAGGCCCCAAATTGTGTTGCAAGCTGCAAAATTATCGGCGTAAAGATTCGGCCGGACATTATCTCGCCGTAAAAGTCGCGAAGATCGCGCGTTAGTCCCGGCGTGGCCGCATTCCAACTCGCGATCCTGCGCCTCATAAATCTGCACACGACGTTCCTGCGAGTCTCTCGCCCTTCGCGTAGCCCTCGGTTGCACGGCTCGCCGAGAGTCACGAGACGTTACCACGCACGCTGTGTCGAAATATTTCAACGAGCAACGATAGCTTCTTCGATAATTTTTTTCGCAAGCGATCTGTTCATTATTCTCTTTGTTCCATTTCTCAAATGAACACGTCCCTGTATATCGAAACGTCTTCGACGAAATATTTGATTGATACGATATTTCCTCGCAGAAATCAAATTTGCGAACGCGTGGCGCAAATCGTTATTTTTTCTTGGAATAACATATGACTATTTCGCGACTATTGAGACATACAAGTCGCACTCTCTCATTCCTTGCGATGTGTCCCATAAAATAAGGATAATAAATAATTCGATCACGAAAAAGTAGTTTATCCGACTAGTCAGTATATTAATTATACGATTTGTCTTTCTTCGTGGAGTCTCAAATCGCGGGTTCTTGAATTTCACGCTTGGCATCGAACGCAACGATTAGGTAACAATGCGCCCACGTGCACGGAGGTATCCGTGTCGCATTGGGTGAATTCCCAACGCTGACGAGCGGCGATCGAACGTTGAATCCCGTTCGAGTGTTCTCCGGAATGTTCGATGTAGTATCGAGCCTCCGTAATTGTCGATTGTATTAAATATTAATAGATACAAAAACCGCGATCCCGCGTCGTCGATCGGAATCCGATAATCTCGGCGTACAATTGAAGCGAGAAAAGAGCTTCGTTTGAACGAGGACTCACCTGCACCGCCGGTCGACTTGCGTCCCCGGGATCGTCGGACACGTGTCGCGGGCATAATTTCCGGCAGTGTCCAGCGTCGATCTGGATAACTTCTCCGGATATCCCTGAACAAGATTGATCTATGTTATACGAGCAGCGTTTCTGTTACAGCGTATAAAACATATGGTACACGCACCGGCATAAATGCTGTCCCTATCCTTGTGAGGTACACGCACACAACTAGAGTCCCTGTAGTTGTGTGCGTGCACACCTCACAAGGATAGGGACAGCATTTATGCCGGTGCGTGTACGTGGTAAATCGGTGTGCACGACGTCGATCGGATACTTTCGGAGAAGTTGATTGATCTAATCCAGCGATTTTCAATCGGTATGTTGCGAGAAATTTACAGGTGCGCCGTGATAATTAAAAAAAACATGCAATACCTAACTATTTAGTCAGACGCACTGACCCCTTTTCCCTTAGATTGTCAACTAATATATTTTTTTACATGCCGCGGAATTTTGGTAATTAGTTTGTGTGCCATGAGATGAAAAGGATTGGAAATCGCTGATCCAATCGCATCGTTAAAAAATTAGAAAGAGGGAGATTTAGTCAGAGGCACTGATCTCTTGTCCCTTATATTGTCAACTAGTATATTTTCTACATGCCATGGAATTTTATTAATTAGTTCGTATACCATGAGATGAAAAGGATTGGAATTTGCTGATCCAATCGCATCGTTAAAAAAATTAGAAAGAGGGAGAAGGAAGCGCCGGAACAAAGCCTAAGAAGGGGTGGCGCCTACATGACCGAATCGCGATGTGCGTACAACTCTGCTATTTTTGCACGCGAACGCGTGGGACCGGGAGCGCGGGAATATTTGTCGTCGACATGGCGAGGGGGAAGGCTCCTGGGCGATTTATCGCGTTACGTTGCAAATAAAAGTAAGTGCGGGCCGAGGTCCAGAGAGAAATGCGTCGTCGGTTATCGTCCGAAGCGAGTCGGCAGGGGGGGGAGGGGGAGACAGACTACTCGGCGGGAGGCGTACGGCGTTTTAATCGAAATTAATATTTCGATTAAAGCGCTGGGCAGACGATCTCTTTCTTCGTAAGCGCGGTCAAACGTCCCAGCCGTTCAATTGAAGCCAATAGATCGACGGGCGAAGTGACGCGCGACGTGAAATTCGAGGCTCCTGGGCCTCGGAGAAGGACAAGAGTGCCTTGTCCACTTGCACGCGAATATTTAATCGTATTACTCATCACTTTGCCCCGACTAAACGCTACGCAAATTATAGAGATTTCACGAAGGTGCCTCGAAACTTATCAATTTGAATTCACTTATAATTCTTTAGGCTCTGTTTGTAACGCAAATAATAGCATTTTTCTTTTCAACAAGATGTACACGCAAAAGTATTACTGGAAACTAAACGTTGTTAATATTTGTGCTATCCACATAAAACGGTCAAGTTTACTTATTATTAAGCTCTGTTTAATTCAACTCCGTTAATGTTTGTAGAACCAAATTATGTAAAGTTGTATAGTTTTATATAGAAACTAACTCTTTTTTTTAAATTCTCCTGAATCGTGTGTTTGACGCAACGTGTCTAGTTGAGCGATGGAAGATGAGAAACCTATTTCAACGAAGTTATCTTGGGACGAGGAGGAAAAGTGCGAAATATTCCCGTCCAATGTAAATTCATAACACGTTTTCGGGATGTCCTCTTAAATCGGAGAGATACCTCGCAGTGCGACGTCACAAAACGTCTCGCCTTAATCGGTATCGTGCAAATTGGACGATTCGCCGTAACCGGATGTTCCGTTCCCTTTCCCCCCGTTAGGACGCGTTCATTGATTAAGCACAGGACACGGTATCAATTCGCTGTGCCGTACGCGCGAAGGAGATCGTGAATCGCTCATTAACAGGCGCCTCCTCGCGAGTTTCCTTCACAAACGTCGCATTTTCCTCTCTCTTATATTGAATACATATTGAATTATACATCGAATTGATATATACATTGGATAACAGGGTCAAAGGCAGGAATAGTCAGGAAGTAATTGACGTTTTGGTTAGATGCTCACCGTATCCGACGTCGATCAGCTTCTCGTATCGGGCGCAGCACGTGTACTGTCGCGGTTCCTCCGAGTTTCCTTCGTTCCCTGACTCCTTCTCGCCGAAAACTAGGGGGCAAAAATCGCGAGGCGATCACGAGTGGAGCACAATCGAGGAACACGAAATTCGTAATCGCAGATGAAACGTGCCTCTCGTGCCCCCGCGCGGGGACGATTTAGACAAAATTAAAGTTCTAAGGCTCAATGTTCTCGTTTAGATTTCGAATTTGTGTGAAAGAATTGAAATTAAATTGCGTCTTGCGGACGACTCTTCTCGGAGCAGAAACAGAATTTATGTCCATTAACTCGCTTTTTATCTCCTTCCGATTCTAAGAATTAGAAAACGAAAACAAGCAAAACTTAGCTTAAACCGAAATCAAACTTGATCTCTATTGATAGAAATCGACACGTTAGTGCAATTTAAACGAACTCAATGTTTTACTCCGCGGTCTTGGGCAAAAAGATAAATCTGATTTCGTCTTTCATCATCGTTCGGAAATTTATAAAAGATTTCATTCTAAAAAAAAAGACAAGGCGAAAAGTACGAGAAGCTGTCCTTTCACATTTCTGTGGTTTTCGAACATGCAGAATCCGATATGTATCCCTCTGCGTCGAGACGAAAAGCGGATGAGAGAAAAGCAGAGCGGGACAGAGGGGTGAGGCTTGATCGGCGTTACCTAGTCGCAAATTAGCCACGCAAACTAATGCGAAACCGGCGAGGACGGTCCACCGTCCCCTCGTGCCTTGCATATCGATACCGATTACCGGAGCGGATGACAAGCGGACGTGCGAGCGGAAACGTTCACCGGCAAGAAGCAGGGACCGATCGTCGTCGCGATCTCTCACGATTTCGCCGCGAATCCTCGGACCACCAGGGGATGATCCCGAAGCATCCGGACGTGCCTCGGTATCGCTCCCTCCCGGAGAACGCGGCGGATAACGCGGAGGCCGAGTCGGCGAGGAAGACGGCGGCCGGTCGGGGATCGGTATCGAGGGGAGATCGATCGCGTATCGGACTCGTGCCTGCTACCCACGCGGCTTGCGATCCGCGGGAAGACTGGCCGTCTGCCGTGGCCGGCCGGGAGACGTCCGGCTGACAGCGGCGGATCTCTATTAATCTCGTTTGGTGAACGGGGTCCGCCTCGTGACGGACCGTCCGTCACGGTCTCTCGCCACCGGTCGCACCCGGGACGGCCGCTCGATCTGACGCAGGTCCCGTGATTGGCTATACGTCCCGAGGACTTTCTCGTTTCCACCCCTAGGGAGAAACGGGCGCGGGCAGAAGCGAAACTCGTGCAGTCAATATTTGTCAGGACCTCCCGTTTTTCTTGCGTCGCTCTGTACATTTAGCAGCCATCGGAAGCTCGGCCAACTCGGGAAGAGCTTGTTTTTGCTCCCTCCCGAGGGGAGTTTGTGTTTACCGGAGAGTTTAGCCCCGCCGTACCGAGGATTTCGCATTCGAACGTCGCGATACGGCTCTGATTGAGGGGGCTAATCAGCGTCCCCAGCTTCGGGAAGATCGGCTGAAGTCTGTTGACGTTTTGTCAAGTAGCAGCCGCTTGTGTCACATTTCGTCTCTGCACGGGAAAAGTGACGCAAGTGGAAAATAGCAAGAACGATTTTAAACTTTCAACTTTTCCAGGCGCATATTATATTAATGATTACACTTTACACATCGAAATAATACATGCAGCAATTACAATTTCTCCCGAATCACGAGCTTAATGATAATTTTTTTAATGATATAGTTTGCGCTTCGTTTTTAACATAAATTATAAAACTCATATTTTTGACCTGTGTCACTTTCTTTACAGAAATATAAGAGAAACAAGTACCAGAAAATTATTGTACATCAGTAATTTCTCATTATTTCATTATCGAACTCTGGAAATTATTCAGTATGTCTTTTTCGTTCCTAGTATTACATTTCTGTAAGGGTTTCCTTGTGCAAAGGCGATTTATTAGGATACTCTCCTGTCATATCGCGAAGGCTGATTTTCCTTTGAGACAGAATTCGTCCTCAGATTCTTTCCGTTCCGAATGAACATTAGGAACACTCGAAAAAATGATCTTGCAACTGCAGCAACAATTTTCCAGGTACGAAAAAATAATTGAGATGTATAAATGAATAGCCAAAACTGCGAAATCGCATATGTTTCGTATTTAGTCAATTTGAATAACAGAATTTCTACCTCAACTATTAGCGAATGTTAGAAAGAATAAAGTCTTTCTGTGACGAACATCCATTATAACGTTTGATTGCAGTACATAAATAACTATATTTCTTAAGATCTGTGTCCACGATGCTAGGTCCAAGTTCTAGTATCGTGGACACAAGCTTTTACAAAAATTATTCTAGCTGGTACCGAAATTCATTTTTATCCTATGCAAATGATTAATATTTAGTCATGAAACATAAACTTTTCAGAAGGTATTGCTAGAACATTGCTAGAATATTGCAGCTACAAATTTTGTAGGCTGCAAACAATTGTCTAGCAGATACACAAAGTAGCTGCAAATTTGTGTTCCGACACCTAGAAATCTACCTGCGTTAGTAAGACACTGTTTTCAGTGTATAATAGGACGTTTGTCGGTTATCGTTATAAAACTCATCACTTTCTATCGTCAACTTATCAGTATAATGCAATCTGAAAGCGCGCGATTATTTTTCGAATTCGCGATATCTCGGCTCGATACGATTTGAAACACAGTAAACGGACTTTCCCCCTGGACTAATTGTAAGACGTCTGTCCCAATCCGAGACCGATATCTAATCGAAACACGCGACGCCGCTTCACAGAAGATAACGTTTTCCTAACAGAAACTTCCGTGACTCCTTCGGTCCCCCAGCGATATTTTCGTCGCTGGAATCCGGGGTGGAGAGGAGAAACGAAGAAAAAAAGGGACAAAAGGGAAAGGACTGTCTCTCCCTCCCTTGCTTTTTCCCGCGGCGCGAGGGAAGGGGGATTCGTTCGTCCAGTTGCAGCATCATCGCATCTGACCGCACCGGGAGATCTCTCGCCCTTCTCCCTTCTCCCTCCCCCCAGTTTCGCCCTCCGCGCTCGTTAGCATCCGCGCTACCGTCGAGGTCGTTGAGGGATCCGCGCGAGAGGTCATTATCATTAACCGTAAATTACCGTGTGCGAATCTCAATCTCGCTCGCTGTAACTCACAGGAGAAGGACGGGGGAAGACGTTACTTTGGCGGAGCCGTCCAGTGGCGTACGGGTTGATGCGAGAGGGTAAGAAAAGGATAAATGTATATTTATCACGAACTTACTAAAAATATACGGACACAGACATTAAAAGGACAAATTAATAAATAAAAAGTACGTCGTCGTCCGCATTTTTTTTTAGACTGTGAAAACGAGAGTGGTTTCACTGTTCCTTATATTTTCCGCATTATTGTGCGCGATGTATTATTTTAAATCGAAGACGGAATATATGGTACGGAATCGAGGTATCGCAAGGGCTCGCGATTGTTACAATAATGATCAGGGACAGACCCTAAGTAGCACAGCACATTGGCTAAACATTGGCCCAGTGTCGGTTATATTAGAAAGGGATTGGCCGATATTGTCCAACGTAAAATTATGAAATGTGTGTATATAATATATACAGGGTGTCCTGAAATTCGCGAATCAAAATACCATAGCAAGAAAGTCGTCGAAAAAATAAATTAAAAAGTTATTTGCCATTTTTCGTTCCGAGCAGTAGTTTTTTTAGATAAAAAGGTTCAAAACAGGCCAATCATACATTATGGTTGAACGGAAACCTGTCCGTGAGTCGCGCGTCGATAGTGTTAGTGCATTAACACTATCGACGCGCGACTCACGGACAGGTTTCCGTTCAACCGTAATGTATGATTGGCCTGTTTTGAACCTTTTTATCT